TTGTATATGAGATATTTCTCCAGACTTATCAGAGTCTCGCAGCAGTCTCTGTCTATGCTACTTAATATCATCTGTCATCTAATTCTATTTTCTCAAGAATCTATATCTATATATTACTGAGTATTCTGTCACTGACAACTATTCTGCAGTTCTTGATTTTCTTATATCATAATTAAGTTCTTTCATCACAACTGTCTTCTCAAGTATTAATTACATGTGAGAAAGATGACCTCTCTGATAAAGATACTCAAGTTGAAGAAAAGCTTATTAAAATTCACATGACACTTTCATAATCACTTAAAGTGAAGACTGATTAGTATGTCAATCTGTGAATATTATCAGTTAGTTTGAGTTTAACATTCTGAATGCAAAGTTATTCTTTCATAATTATATCATAATCTTCAGATAAGTACAATGTGTTGAAACTCTTCACATAGATCTGCTATAATCTCACAGCAAAGTTACAGATCTAAGTAGCTGTGAATGAATTTACTTTCTTCTCTATATTTATCAGTAGCTCTCACAGACTCAGTGAATCTATCAGTCAGTATAAGACTGTTCTAGTAATTGTTAGTCACTTCAGTATAGCTGATATTCTCATCTATTCTAAGCAGCTTCTTCATGAGTATAATATATTCACTTCATCAATTCATCACATGTATCTTATATAGTAGATGAAGACATTAAGTGAGTCAATACTTTCTCACAGTGTGGTTCGGAAGAACGTACGACCGTCGGATAATAACGCGGCCGCTTCCGAACTACTAGCGTACGAATGTAAAGGGGGGCCATAGTGGCCACTAATTAATTTAGTGTACGATATTACAATATATAAGAAGCTGGTGTACGCCTGTAATCATACACTGGCTTAAGCAATCTTTGAATCACATCTGATAGCATGTCTAAAAACCAGTGAGAAGTGCAGGCTTCTTCAGGGTGTGATAATTTCATCTATGAAGTGATTCATAGTTATCATGCCAGTGTGGTTCTAGAATGTCTCAAAAGATAGTATATAAAGAGCAGTGAGTGAAAGAGCATCTGATTGATGCTGCTTTGCTTATTGAGGGAAAACTCCACACCCAGGCGAATGCCATATATGCGAACAGATGAGGTGTGAGAAAAGAGATGAGAGCAGTGAACCAGATTCAAAGAAGACTGCTCTCCACTCAAAGAGATAAAAGAGAGAGATGGCCATCACCGGAGTTGTATGATGATAACAGAAATCATATAACAATACAGTGATATAATGATAGACATTGTATGATTAATGAGAAATCACTGAAATGAATATCTTCTCTAGCTGATATGAACAACACCCTTCTCTGCTACCTGAACTGGAAGATATGCAGAACCTCTCAGAGAGTTTACTCAAAGCAGTAAGAAAAGCAGCTGAGATCACTGAACTGAAATCAAAGCTCTGTACACATATAAGAATTCTAAATGAGATCAAGGTCTTGTGTATGCAGTGGCAGGCTGAGACAGAAGCTAAACAACAATTGACATTCACTGCAGATTAAGCATTCACTATGAAGAGCTTTGCTGATGCAATTATCATCATCAATAAGAATAGAGAAAATCAGATCTTAGGCCTGCAGTGAGAGATTAAATATTTACACAGACAGATAACTACACTGAACCTGAAGATCTCATCATAATTATTCACAATCTCTTCAGAAGTATACACATCATCAGAGATCACTGTGCAGAATGAGAATCTAAGCATGAAATACATCAAGTCAGGAGATCTGCTGAAGTTACTAAGCTTTAATAGCAACTGAAAAAATGATGCTGCAATCAGCTGACTAAGTCAGATACAATCATATTATCAGATTGAATATGAACTCACAGACAGACAGTTAATAAAATTTCAACAAGTCTTAAGATCTGCTATGTTTCTACATGAAAAAGCAAAGTCATTGTAAATAACTGATGAAAAGATGAATCTCACAGACTTAGAGTGATATTCATTCTTATGAATATGAAATGAGTTTTTCAAATGAATCTTACACAACTTTGAGAAAGTGAATGTATGAGATAAGTGTTATAAATGCTTCACTAAGTGTAGATAAGTAAGTGATCTTATATTATACTTTATACACTTCAGCTTACACTATCTTATATTAAATGAAGAGCTTTTAATATCTTTCTGTTTATAGATCTTCATTCATAATCTTACACCTGAGTTAAGAGCAGAATAGAAATGCTTAACCTCACAGTCAGACATAGTAGAGAAAGCATATAATATTCTCATTGTACAGAAACAAGTGAGTCAATTATAATAGAAAATGCTGTAATCAAGTATGTCTCAGCAGAGAACAGATAATCAGACTTCTATAACACAAGTCACACACCTGAATATAATGAATCTAGATCTGAATGTCATTGCTAAAGTACTGAATTCTCTGAAAAAGAGATTCTCTGAGTGAAAACCTTGATATTATGAGTATCAAGCTTGCTTCAACTGCAGATGTCAAAATCATGATATAAAAGATTACACTCAGTGTGCACAGTTAAGAGAAGTAAGAGAGTTAAAAAACTAGCAGAATCAGTGAGCTCAGAGACACTTACTAATATTCTATGAAAAGTCTTCAAAGTGAAAGAGATGTCTGTGTTAGATGATTCTCTGAATTCTGTGAATACTAAGAGAAAGCAGGCTTCTGACTGAGAAGTAAGTGAGAATGAAGTGAATACTCATCTCAATATCTTGAGATCTGAAATGTTAATATATAAGAGACACTTGAGTAAGAATCAAGAGATGACTGTAAAAGTGTTAACAGACACAGAAGCTTCTATATAATATATTAATAATTATATAATCTGAAGATTGAAAGAGGTTCACTGAGTGAAGAATCTCTGACATATAAGATTATCTAATAACTAATATTTGATATTATCTGTAAGAGTAAGAGTTCTCTTGTACTTCAGAGAATGATCTTGCTATATTTAAGTGTAAGAGCTGTAGAACATGAAATACAACCTTATTCTCAGACTTAATTGATTTCAAAGATTCAATCTGCAGATTCAATGATGTACATGTCATATACAGTTGACTGATAGAAAGAAAACAGTTTATATAATTCTATTAACTGATATAAGAAGGACATTTCACATCTCTGATATAGAAGAGTTAAATCTGCTTATACATTAATAAGCAAAGAGAATGATTTGTAAGATCTGATCTGAAAACATTCTGTATATCATACAGAACTGAGAAGCAGAGAAAATCAAGATAAAGAATATACAGAAGAACAAGTGTATGAAGAAGCTTCTGAAGAAGTATAAAAAGATCTTTCAAATAGATCTTTCACTGGAATTGCTGCTGGAACAAGAATTCATACATGAGATTGACATAGAGAACATAAAATCAGTCAATCAGAATGTGTACTCTCTGTCACAAATGCATCTCAAAGAACAGAAGTGTCAGATCACTGATCTTCTAGAACATAGTTTCATACAATTCTCATCAAGTATGTGAGGCTTTCCAGTCCTATTCATGAAAAAGATGAGTGAGAAGTGACAGATGTGTATCAATTATCAAGCACTTAACAAGCTTATAATCAAGAATGAATATTCACTGTCACAGATTCAATAACAGTTAAATACAGTCAGAAACACCTGATATGTATTGAAGATTGATCTTCTCTCAGAATACTGGCAGATTCATATAGACAAACTGTCAGTCTCATGAACTATATTTAATACACAATGAGAGAAGTTCAAATTCCTGATAATATCATTTGATCTGACAAATGTATCTGTCATCTTTTAAACAATGATGAATACAATTCTTTATAAACAGAATGAAATCTCATGTCTTGTATATCTTAATAACATTCTAGTCTTTTCAAACTCATATGATGAACATCTGAAGCATCTCAATGAAGTGTTTATAACTCTGACAGAGTATAAGCTCTATGTCAAATCAATCAAGTGTGTGTTTGAAATGAAAGAGTTGAAGTTTGTAGAATATGTAGTGAGTGATGACTGTATACATCTCATCTCAGAGAAATTGAATGTCATAGTGAATTGACTGTGGCTGAGAAACATACATTATATACAACAGTTTCTTGAATTAATCTCATACTACTGCAGATTTATCAAGGATTTTGTACAAATATCTGCATCACTCTCAGATCTCTTAAGAGAAATAGATGCAAATCTGTGAAAGAAGAAGTTTCATTCAATCATCTGAAATGTCATATGTGAAGAGGCTTTTCTCACACTGAGAGAATATGTAATAACATTCTCAATGCTTATTCAATCAGATTGTGATAAACCTTTCTACATTGAGACAGATGCTTCTGAATGAGCTATCAGAGACACTCTTCTACAGATGAGTAAGAATAGCAAGCTGTATCTAATGATGTACAATAGTAGGAAACTATCAGATGCTGAGCTCAATTACTCAGTGTATGAAAAGAAATTACTAGTAATTAAGCATGTACTGATGTTATGAGATAAATATATTAATAACTGAGTATATGACAACAGTGATCACAGATCATGAAAGTCTCATCTATCTATAATTAATAATAAAACCTTTCAAATACTTAGCATGTTAAATCTCAGAGTTTCAAGTATACAATCTTCATATTAAATACTGAAAAGAATCAGATGCTGTGATATCTGATACAATTAGTTGCAGACCTGATTTCATGAGTGAGAGTTCTGTGAACCAGGTACAAGAGATGTTTGTGTTAAATGTGCTGAGAAGATGCAAGGAATCAGAATGAGTGAATACCATGATCTCTTACTTAAAGAATGACAAGGTGTTGAATAATAAGTGTCTTATGAAAGTAGTAGAAGAGATGCTTTTAAACTTCAAGCTGAGAAAATTGAAAAACAATATTATGCTTTACTGTGATCTAGAATACACAGAAGCTCTCTATCTAGAATCTTCATTTTAACATGACTTAGTGACTCACATGCACAAGGAATTCAGTCACTTAGAAAGCTCTGAACTTATGAGTGTACTCAAATCAAGAGCATACTGATCAAGCATGACTGAGAACATTCAGACATACACTCATAAGTGCATGAATTATCAGGTTATGAAAGAATCTAAGAAAGAATTAGACTATGAGAAAGTGCAACATCAGATGAAGTGTATGATACAATTATTTAAATGATAAAGAGTGAACCTCATAGACATATTACTGTGAATGTCAAATGAAAATTGATGAATAATTACTGCTATTGATTACACTACTGACTGGCCAGTCATGAAAGCAGTTTCAGAGGTGACAGAGAAGATGATGATGAAGTTTCTACATGATGAGATCTATATCAACTATGAAATACTGCACAAGATTCTAACTGATAATGATGTAAATCTCATAGAAGAAGTAGTGAGGCATTTTGTGAGTCAGTTACAGACAAGACATTGTAGAACAATGCCATATCATTCACAGATAAATGAGAAGATGAAACACTTGAATGAAATCTTGAGCAACATGCTGATGAAATATCTAGTGAGCAAGCCTATGAGACTATGAGATGAATATCTCAGGCAGGCGCTACTGGCTACACAGATTCAACAGCATGCAGTCTTCAAGTATTCATCATTCTACCTGTTGTATGAATTGCATCCGCGCATCTCAGAGAATGCTTTGAAAAAGATGAGAAAGAGAACAGCAGTTGCGGACACAACAGTCACAGACACAGCAGAAACAGCAGTTATAAATGTAGCAGTAGCAGTTGCAGACACAGCAGTTGTGAATGCAGAATCAAGATTGAAAGAGATCAGCTATGCATATATAAAAGCTAATGAGTTACTTCTGAACTGAGCAATTCAATTGAAAAGAATATAAGACTCACTAGTTAAGGAATCAAATCTCAAGATAGAAACATGAGTTCTCATACACAATGAGAGTTCTGAGAAGTTTCAACCTAGGTGGTTTGAGCTATATAAAATACTCAAATCACATTCTCTGAAAATGTATGCATTGAAAGAATCAGAGAAACAGATCTTACACAACTTAATCAATGATTCATAACTTATGAAAGTAAAGATGTAAGACCTGAGCAGATTATGATTATCTACAGCACTATTATCAGCATTGAAAAAGAAGAAGCTTACAATTAAAAAGCCTTATGAAGTAAGAGAAATCATAGACACTTACAAATCAGATGATCTCACTTATTTCAATCTTTTTATGATTATAAGAAAAGAATGAGAAGAAATGAAGAAATCAGACAAATATCACACTTCAATAAGTAATGAGACTGTAGCTGATTGTATAATAATATACTGCAGACAGCAGATGCAATACAGCAAAGAGCAGTCTCAAAGCAGCAGACTTGTACATGAGTCAGATTACAGAAGAAAAAGAAATTCAGAGTTGAATTCAACTGTTTATATCAGTTCAATTGCAGAGATCACAGAGAATGAACTATCTAAAATATCTGCAGATGCATGAAATCAAGTCATCTTGACCTCTGAGAATGCTCAGAGATCAGATGAGATTAGTTTTAATAAGCTGTTCACTGTAGTAATCTGAGCAGGTGAAGAGAGACAGTATAATGCATGAGACAGAATTATAAAAGATAAAAGCTGCTGAATCTAGTTATTAAACACTGTATCATATAGAGGTCACATAAGAGTAGTGACTAGCAGATAAAGAGAAAAGTGTAAGAAAAGAAAAGAGATAATGAATTGATCATCAACTGTAAGAGTCAGTCACAAAAGATAAATATTATCATACACACTTCATTCATTTTCATACATCACACATTTAATCTATTTCCAATGCCATACCACCTGAAAAACATCAAAAACAAAGGAAATCTCAAAACTCAAGATCTGCAAGGGATTTGAGGGCTGTAAGCTGCTCTTATAACAACATTATACATGTCTCTGATTTCTCTACTACTCTGTGTATGACATTAATGTCATTTATCACAAGATTGACTGGAATATCAATATAGGAATGTGCACATGTATGTATAGAGAAATTGAAGAAGAGTACAGAACTCGCAGGACTAGAAGTCAGAGCAGAGAAAACAGAGGCAGAAGAAACAGAAGAAGAAGAAGATACAGAATCAGATAAATAACAGCAGAAGTCATCTGAGGCTGAATGCTTATAACTCAGTGTGTAGACAATCTTCTCTGCAGAGAAGGAAGAGAAAGTGATAGAAGAAGCTTGAGAGTGAAAGAGAATAGTTTCAGCAGTGTTATCATCTTTGATTAAAATGATCTCTGATGCTGAAGTAACTAAGAACTATTATTAGTGTACAAAGCTATAAAAGCAGGGATAATAACTACTGAATAAACACTCACTGGCCTTAGAATTGTACATGTAATTACAACACACACAAGGCTTCTCAGAGAGAGAGAGAGAGACACAGAGAAATGCAGAAAGTAGAACACAGTGTGTGAATAATCTATTTTCACAATAACATCTCAGACAAGATTTATGAGTCTCACATCTGTGAATGTAAAATAGTATGACATTCACATTTTCATTTCTGAAAACACAGATATCTTTCACCTGCATCATGAAGTTAAATGACAGATATCAGAGAATAGACTGATACAGATCTATCATTCTAAAGAAATTCATCAGAGTGAATATTCTCACAATATTAAACTTTATAGTTGTGAAAAGCTTCTTGATATCTGTGAATATCATGACTTCATACACAGTAAAACTCATAATGATTTCTTCTAAGAACAGAAAAATCAGTGTTAGAAAGAAAAGATGAAAAAGAAAAAAACTTATAATCTTAATACTGTTGAGAGAGAGAGTGATTCTCTGATATGAATGAATAATTATCTTATCATGAATATTTAAAATAAATATAATAATCAGTATCTGTAACTGAGCTTTAGATAGTTATGTTATATACAGTCTTTATATAATAAATTATTCTGAGAGTCAGTAAAAAGGGCAGAAGTGTATATACTGAAAGAGATAGTTCATTAAGTCTATACAATATCTTCTTGAAATAAGAAAAGCTGATAATGAAAGCAGAGACAGTAAAATCAGAAGTAGTGAGAGTAGAGATTGCAGGAACAGAGGTAGCAGAAGCAGGAGAATCAGACACAGAGACAAGTGTAGAAGATTAGA